TGTTATAAAAAAATATATATATATATATATATATATATATATATATATATATATATATATATATATATAAAATACACACACACACACACACACACACACTATATTAAGATAATTTTTTAACTGTTTTAAACCATGATGCCTTTTTATATATATATATTTTGAAATTGTAGGGACTAATAGTAGTATAATGAAGCATAAACGTTGTAAAATAATACATTAACATACAGTATATTTAAGTACAATTACTCCAGTACTTAACACTCCTGGCTTCCAAAAACTTATTCAAGCATATTCAGCAACCAAGCAGAAGTTGAGCGGCATTTTATTGCCTATATCAGTTTACACAGTAACACACACACACACACAGACACAGACACAGACACAGACACAGACACAGAGACACACAGACAGAGAGAGAGAGAGAGAGAGAGAGAGAGAGAGAGAAAAACAGCACCCATCATATCTCCGATTATTTTTAACCCTGAATTAAGCCATATTTGGAAAATGCCATATTGTAAATAATTTCTGCAGGCAGGGAGTTTCATAGCCACTCAGTCTCATCTTTAGGTAAGTTATTTATGTTTTTACACCCTTTAATGGTTTGTGTATTCAGACGATCATACACTACATGGTCAAAAATATGTGGACAATGTTGGAACATTTAGACACATTTAGACAACTTATGCTCCTATTAGCAATAGGCCAACCTGTTAAAGAAATAGTTCACCCAAAAATGAAAATCTGCTGAAACTTTACTTCCCCTCAGGCCATCCAAGATGTAGATGAGTTTGTTTCTTCATCATAACAGATTTAGAGAAATTCAGAATTACATCACTTGCTCAGCAATGGATCCTCTGCAGTGAATGGGTGCCGTCCAAACATCTGATAAAAACAAACACGCAGCTTTTTACTTCCCAAGACATTAACTGAAGGTCTGGAGTGGTTTTTATGAGCTCTCATTTTGACGGCACCCATTCACTGCAGAGGATCCATTGCGGAGTGTTCCCATGAAGAAACAAACTCATTTACATCTTGGATGGCTTTAGGTGAGTACATTTTCAGCAAATTGTCATTTTTGGATGACCTATCTCTTTAATAAGTATATAAGGTGTCCACATACAGTACTTTGGAAATGCAGTGTGCATTCTCATTTCCAGGAGTTCCAGTTATTAAATTTGTTCATTTGAACTCATCAGTTTGATTTTCCAGGCAGTCCAGATGGACGTCAGAAGCGAGCCACTTCAGTGAGGCTGGGCACTGCTCCCTGATCTAGATGCAGCTGATGCAGTCCTGTGTTAAAACTGGCACACAGGAGACTGCTGGAGTCACACGGAGCCAGAGACACCAAAGGCCCTGAACCGTCCAGCGTTAACGTGTACAAACATGCTGAAGAGAGAATATGGAGGAGACCAGAGTCAAACCATGAATATTTTAAGCAGATGTGACTCTTTTTTCCAGGATTATACTAGCTTGACATGTTTGTTTCAGAAAGCATGACACGCGTGAAAGAAAATGTGAAAGAGTGTCAAGTGTTGCTTATGACATTGTTATTTAAAGGAGAATTGTGTCATTTGCATTTAAATTCCACATACACTCTTAAAAATAAAGGTGCTTCAAAAGGTTCTTCAAGCGATGCCATAGAAGAACCATTTTTGGTTCCACAAAGAACCATTCGGTCAAAGGTTCTTTAAAGAACCATCTCTTTCTTACCTTTTTATAATCTGAAGAACCTTCTTTCGCCACAAAGAACCTTTTGTGAAACAGAAAGGTTCTTCAGATGTTAAAGGTTCTTTATGGAACCATTTAGACAAAAAGGTTCTTCTATGGCATCGTGAAGCACCTTTATTTTTAAGAGTGTATCATCAAAACCTGGCAAAAATGTATTTAATTTCACAGTAAATCACATCTCTTAAATAATGGTTATCTAAGTGTATGTATCTAAAATGGATTTTAAAAACACTTTAAATTCTACTCACAGAAAAAAAAGTATGTAGTCTTTATGCACATTAAAGGATTTTATTTAATGCACATTAAATGATTTTATTTAATGAAAAATACTGTAGTAACAGAAATATTGTGTAATATTATTGTCATTTTAAATAAGCTGTTTTCTGTTTTAATATATTTTAAAAAGTAATTTATTCCTGTGATACAAAGCTGAATTTTCAGCATCATTACTCCAGTCTTCAGTGTCACATGATCCTTCAGAAATCATTCTAATGTGTAATGCATCATTGCTGAAGAAAAGTATTAATTTCCTTCAGAAATAAATAAATAACTTGCTTACTGGATCAATTCAAATTTATATTCAATTAAAAGTATGTCAGCCAGAGGAGTAAGCTTGCCCAGCTGAGTTTGGCTCCTCACAAAGTTTCTTTTTCTCTTACCTAAACATCTCAAGTTTTCTGACTTGACTTCCACAAACAGGAAGCTGGCCTATTATGCGCCAGCTGGCCAATTCACTTAATACAAGTGTATGTGTGTGTGTTACCTGCAGTGTTCTGATCCCATATTTTTACTGAGCTGTCATACGACGATGACGCCACGAGGGCAGGACATCCGGGACGGGGAGGCACAAACACGCAGCATGCCGTGGTCTGCAGGTGTCCTCTGTATTCAGCCACCTTACAGCCGGGCTGCCTGAGGTCCCACAGCTACACACAATCATAAACACACAGATGTTTGAATTCATGCACATGGCGAACTGTGTCCTGGCAGTATCCGTACACACACTCACCGTGGCTTCACAACCCTGACCACCAAAGCCATTGCTGGACGACAGCAGGTGGTAACAGTTGGAGCTGATGTCACAGTGTGTCTGGATATACTGCTTTGCCGGAAATGTGTTAGTGACCTGCCAGGTACGGCTATCCCACACCCTGAGACACACACCAACACACAAATCAAAAACATTAATATAGCGCTTTTAATAAGATGCATTGTTTCAAGGCAGCTTTACAGAAATCATGATTTCAACAATGCTTGCACTATCTTAACATTTTCATGCCTTACGGTCACATTTAGCAAATGGGCAAATCACTTGTTCACCTCTGCAGTGAATGGGTGCCGTCAGAATGAGAGTCCAAACAGCTGATAATGACATCATCACAATAATCCACACCACTCCAGTCCATCAATTAACGTCTGGTGACATGAAAAACGGCATGTTTGAAAGAAACTAGATGTTTTTAACTTCATATCGCTGCTTTCGTCTAAAATACGAGTCCTCTATCCGTAATATTGCTTTCTCCAATGGAAAAAGTCGTCTCGGCTGAATCAAGAGAGAAATATGCACTGATCAAGCACTATTTACAAGTGAAAACAGTCTAAAATAGTTCTAAACAAATATGTAGGTGGATTTTTAGATGTGAGAGGACAACAGGGGATGGCCTTTTTCCTACTGGAGGAAGCATTATTATGGATTATGGAGTATTTTGGCCGGAAGCCGCGATATAAAGTTAAAACACCCTGATGGATGGATTTTTTCTTGTAAACATGCAGCTTTTCATTTCACAAGATGTTAATTGATGGACTGGAGTGGTGTGTGGATTACTTGTTGATTATTGGTATTGTCTTTCTGACGGCACCCATTCACTGCAGAGGATCCATTGGTGAGCAAGTGATGTTAAATTTGTCCAAATCTGTTCTAAGAAACAAACATGATGGATTGAAGGCGAGTACATATTCAGCAAATTATAATTTTTGGGTGAACTATTCCTTTAAATTTTATTTAATGGACCTAAGCTGACATGAACTTACAATAAACAGTTGTATTTTAATAACCAACCTTAACAAAGATTTAAAAAAGTACTGTAACAAATGAATTGCTTATTGGTTAATGCATTAACTAACATTAACTAATGGGACCTTATTGTGAAACGACAAAGATATATCTAACTATATATGTGACCCTGGAGCACAAAAGCAGTCTTAAGTCGCTGGGGTATATTTGTAGTGTTTTATTCATTTTTTTCTCCACTAATGAAAATCGTTCCAAAATAAATCCAAGCTTTGCCTTTACCTTTGTAATCTCTCTGCTGTGGCCCTGGAATGATTTGCACTGTTTTCCAGCTCTCCAGTCACAGACAACAACAGCCTGACCAAAAAACAGTGACACAAATCATATTAAAATGCACATAATGTCAATCAATGAAAAATATATTATAACTATCATTGCCTGTTGATTTAAAGCCTTAAATGTGGAATTTCTGTGCCAATAGTGGCAACAATCTGAAATACAAAATTAGCTAGATTTTTGCATGCTTCTTAATGTTACACAAGCATTGCTATGCAATTGCTAAGATGTTCGGAGTGGTTTTAGCATGTGCTGTTGCTATGGGTTTCTGGGTGGTTGCTACAGTCAAAATTTACTCACCCCCAAACTTTTAAGTAGTAGTGTATATTGTAACACAAAATTTCTATTTTGAATAAACACTGTTCTTTTGATTTATCAAAAAATCCTGAAAAACGTATCACAGGTCCCAAAAACATATTAAGCAGCACAACAGTTTCAACACTGATTATAAATCAGCATATTAGAATGATTTCTGAAGGATCATGTGACACTGAAGACTGGAGGAATGATGCTGAAAATTCAACTTTGCATCACAGGAATAAATTACATTTTAAAGTATTTTAAAATAGAGAAACTTTATTTAACATTTCATAAAATTATTATTTTTTTGTATTTTTGATCAAATAAATGCAGCCTTGATGAGCATAAGAAACTACTTAAAAAAAAACATTAAAAATCTTACTGATCCCAAACATTTGAACAGCAGTGTATACGTTTTGTTTTAATTTTAGTACTTCAACCTAAACTTGACATTTTTCAACTAACATTTATACATTACTTATTGAATTAGTCTGTATTTTCATATTTTAAGTTTTTCATTTCATAATTTTAGTTTACATTTTAGTAGTTAGATATGCTTTGTAATTTTTGTTACTTTGTTTATGTACTGTATACACACACACACACACATTTCTATTCCTATTTCTATTGTTTCGGTTTTAATTTTAGTACTTCAGCTTAAACTCATTTGAGTTAAGGAGACAATTTCCAATTTTCCAAGTTTTTCAACTAATATGTATACTTTATTTTAACTAACAAAAAATAGATAGTTTTAATTAACAATATATGGTTTCGCTGCAGTTTTCTAGCTTTTTTTTAAAAAGAAAAACATGATAAAATGTTTTGCAATGCCACAATTCAATCAGCTTTACCCACTTTATGAATTAGTGTTCATAAAGTGGGTATGTTCATAAAACACTTTATATGAAAAGTGTTCATAAAACACTTTATGAATTTATGAACACAGTAACCAAGGTGGGTAGAGCTTCATTTGTGCAATTCCATTAATTCCACACTTAAAGGGATAGTTCACCCAAAAATGAAAATTCATCATTTCATGTCATCATTTACTCACCCTCATGTCGTTCCAAACCTGTATGAGTTGCTTTCTTATGTTGAACACTAAAGAAGATATTTTGAAGATTGCTGGTAATCAATCAGTAGGTGGTTGCCATTGACTTCCATAGTGTGTTTTTCCCTACTACGGAAGTCAATGGCAACCACCAACTGATTGATTACCAGCAATCTTCAAAATATCTTCTTTTGTGTTCAACATAAGAAAGCAACTCATACAGGTTTGGAACGACATGAGGGTGAGTAAATGATGACAGAATTTTCATTTTTGGGTGAACTATCCCTTTAACCTTTGACATCCAACACCCCCAACACTAATTCATCTCCAAACCTCCCTCCTATTCAATGCTTCTCCAGCTCACCTGGTCATGCCCTCCTGACACACACAGGTCAGAGGTCAGGCTGACGACACAGTTGACGGCATCCGTGTGAGCGGCTTCATACTGCACTACCTGGTGCACAGGTGCAAGCTCCGCCCCCTCTTTGGCCCTGTCAACAATACAGCCTCAATAATCACAAATCCACCACAACCAAAACATCACTACTCATCATATCTCACTTGTAAAGGTCCGAGCGCCGCCGAAACTTGCTCTGTAGTTTCCCCATGCCTGTACGCGCGTCTAATCACCTGATATCAGGAGGTCTCACTCATCTCTCCACAGCACAGGCCATCTTCAAACTCTTTTGGGATCTGTAAGAATTACAGGGTTTTTTTACACGTTGATGAAGACGTCAAGTGCCTGGCAACCTCACAAGGGAGCTATTACCTGCCAAGAACAGATGCTGATGTTGTGTGTCTCTAGCATAAGCTGGTAATCAGTTATGTATCGGGTTCAGTTATGTATGGACACAGCTTGCTTGTGAGAGCTCCAGGAAGACAGGGAGGGCGACCTGAATCCTATTAAGTGCATTAGTGCCTCATCGCCTTAGGTAACAAGTAAGATGCAATATGGCAATATTTGGCCAAACCAATATCTCCATCACCTGCAATAAATCTTCAGATATGAAAAAGCTATTTAGAGAGAGAGAGAAAGAGAGTTCCGGTGCAGAATGCATTGCTCTGTTGAAAGTAAATCAGCAAGAACTGCACGACAAGCATGCAGCATCGCTTTTAGTCCATGCATCTGCTATTAAACTACACGATGCACTTCTAGACGCGCATTAAATGCACCAAAACAAAACTTACCGTCCCAAGCCTTAAGACGCTTAGCCGGATATCGCTGTCAGTGTGACTGTGAAGGGCTCGCATGTGTGCGTGTTATGGCGGAGCTTGTTGAAAGTACGTGAACTAAGGATTTATCGCGCATCGTGATCCGTTTCGGTAAATCTTCCGCGACTCCTCGAGTTCATCTTCTCCACGAGAGACGCTTTCGCTGTTACCAGGCGCACGGAGGTCACGTGAGCGCACAGGAGGCGGGGCGTCAGGTCACGTGGATTTTCTAAACAAAAGGACCACTTGATAAATTTAGCAAAGCAAACTTAAAAATAAACAGTAAACGCAACTAAATTAAGCTAAACAAATTAAATTAAATTATATGATTAAAATCCAAATTATTTACATTTGTACAGATATACATCAGTTTATGCATAGGTTAATAATAATCGAATAGGAATATCTTAATCTTACATCAAAAATAAGTCAAATGACTTGTCTATTCCATCAATGATTTATTTTTTAGAAATTAGAAATTAAATAATCAATTTAATTGAATGGAAATGAAAGAATCACAATTCTTTAAGGCCAAAATAGTGTAATATTCCAATTAAGCTAAAGAAATTATGCTCTGAATGGGAAAAAATGTGTTTAGGGACAAAATATGTGTAAATGTCGTGGTAAAAATCATCAGAAGATAAATCATAGAGATGGCCTATATTTAAAAAACTTAAATTACAATGCACAGCATTTTTGTCTATTTTTGTTTATTTAGTTTATTCTTGCTGAATAGAAGGCACATGATTTAAAAAAGTAATCATGTGCCTTCTATTCAGCAAGAATAAACAAACAAAAAAAAACCCCTCCCATATCTGCACGGTGCAATATGTAGTGCATTGTAATTTAAGTTTTTAAATATAGGCCATTTATGTCCATACTAGTACCAAGTAAAACTGCATTTAACAATGTCTTGACAATTTTACTTTAATCCTTAAAGCAAAGTGGAGTTAAGCATTGAATTTACTCTCTAGATTAATATATTGCAATATATCTTAATTAACCCCCTAACTAATTTAACTGACTTTAATTAACATAATTGTATAATTTGCTTGTTTGTATAGTTAGTAATAAAAATAATTTTAATATATTATATTAGATTATGATTATTTGTAGTAGTAGTATTTTCCTGTCTATGCTGCTTGAAACTATTATGGCTAATAATTAAAAATGTTTAAAAAGTTAATACTAAAATTTTGTTTTCTAGACTCATTTCTCTCTGAAGATCTGCCCTCTTGTGGTCAATGAAGGCATGGCTACTCTCACTGAACAGTTCATATCTAAACTAGGCCAGTGGTTAGGCATTACAGAACATCTGAGTTTGGTGAAGCAACACAAGATTTTCTTCTGTCTCAAGCATTTGAGATAATCATCGATATAGCAGGAGCCTACCGTTCACCATACTTTAGACTTTAAATGTGCATTTTTTTTTTCTTTCATAAAATGATGATACTGGTGTAGTCAGAGACTTCCAAACTGGTGGGGTTTCCTATGAACCAGAAAGAGGCTTATGGGCTCTGCAGGTCACTTGACTTAAACAGCAACAATGTGCTCTTTGTGATCAAAGGCCAAACAACACAATGCTTGATATAGCTGAATAAATATTTCTACTCACAAAGAACAGCCAACTAGCATTAAGCATTTCATTAGTCATCATTATAAATAACTGTAAGAGGACAATTCAGCCGTAATCACAACATCTTATATGCACAATTCTGAATTTTTTGTGCCTAAGGTAATTGTAAAGTGGTGGTCAACTGGAGCTTATGATTACACTAATGACTGCACACAGACCTACCGCCCTTCAAAGTTAATCTTTGTAGTGAGACCTAGAAAGCACGATGGAATAACGCAGTTCTTTATCACTCGGAACTTTAAATGTTGCTCTAAATGAATGAACTTAAAATGAATGGCCAAGAAGAGTCTCCGACTTTGAGAAGAAAGGTAAGCTTTCGTTTGACTTTTGAATTTATGGTCCACAACAAAGGCTGTCCACAGCATTATCCACAGGACTGAACATGGAAAAGCAATTGACATGTATGTGTTAAAAGACAAACATTTCCTAAAGCCACCCTACAGAGCTTCTCTAAAGGGAATTTCATCCTGAATTAACTCTGAACCCATGCAGTTTTCACTGCTCATGCTATGAACAACAGCACGATTGTATTTCAGCTGGTATATCTGTTATGCACCTTATCTAGAGCACTAAGAGCAGTTCTGTCCTAGGATGAGTTCGCATTTCAGAGACAGTCTGAATCCATGAATAAGAGGCTTTTGGAATATTAAGTAAAAATGTTCAAATATTTTCAACGAGTTTCAAAAATGGGCAAAGACAGTGGAGAGCTTAAGGAATATCAACCTTTACTTAAAGACTTCAAAGAACCAGCTCAACAAATAAAGGTATGATAAAATAAAATAAATTATTATTTTTAATGAAATATATTTAAAAAAAACTATTAATTATTATTATTGTTACCAAATTATTTAATTGATTTTTATTCTTTTTTCAAATATATTTAACTTTTTTTTAAAAATTAAAATATTTATGACTAGTAGGTTATAATGTACTCTTCAGCATAGCAATAATGAACAGTGATGGATAGGACATGAAGTTGACTGTAATATTCATGCTCTATTTACATTATTTTTTGTACTTTATATTTGCATGTATATTACATATTTTCACAACTCTTCACCGTTCTGATGTTACCCTCCTTTTAATACTCTACTCTTAGATACTCTAAATATTAGCTGTTAACGATGAGCTGAAATCAGAATCACTTTCGAACATGCCTTTTGTACTCTGTTAACTGCAGGTTCCCAGTAAGTCTCTTCTTCTGGCTGTCTGGGCAGCTGGCATCGGTGGAACGTTTCAATATGGGTACAATATATCTATCATAAACGCACCTACCAAGGTAACAACTGTGTGCATTAACGTGATTATTCTCATCACTTAAGCCCGTTTGTGTTTACATCTACAGCAGACTTTATGGAACATGCATTAGTCACATGGAGTTCAGTGCAGCATGCATGATGAGTTATTATTGCAGTAGCTCATCAGACTAAAAGTCACATGAAATTTGTAGTAAATATATCACATGGATTTGGATTTTGGTTCCTTGCACATTTTTGATTTTTGAAAATGACAAAAAGTACTGAATCCAAAAACCACATCTGTGACCCTGGACCACAAAAGCAGTCTTAAGTGTCAATTTTTCGAAATTGAGATTTATACATCATCTGAAAGCTGAATAAATAAGCTTTGTTAGGATAGGACAACATTTGGCTGAGATACAACTATTTGAATATCTGGAATCGGATGGTGCAAAAAAATCTAAATATTGAGAAAGTCGCCTTTAAAATTGTCCAAATTAAGTTCTTATCAATGCATATTACTAATCAAAAATTAAGTTTTAATATATTTACGGTAGGACATTTACAAAATATCTTCATGGAACATTTACTTAATATCCTAATGATTTATGTCAGGACCACTATTGTCAAAGATGATTGACAATTAGCATACAGTTTGGATTGGCGGTATGGTTCTGTTCTGGGCAAGAACTCCCTGCGCATCCATGCAGCCTAGCATGTATGAGAGCAGGGAGAGCAGCGATAACCCCCCCAGGGTAAACAGAACAGAACCAACATAAATGTAGTGCAGATATTGTTAAAGTTCAATAATGTCATGTACACATTTTAGAATTAGTCTGATTCAAAGGAGAATCAGAAGGAATTCAAGAGAATCCTGATTGACAGAGGAGGAGCTGGGGATGGAGGAGGGTAATTAGCTATTGAGCAATGAGAAAACTGCTGATAATACTGAGGGAACTTACAGTATATATGAATGCTTAGATAGGTGTCATATTCCCATAGGTTGATGTGGATCAGCTGAGAGTCAACGGATGCGAGCTTGACTAACCTGACCTGCCAGAACTAACACTATTCTAGATTTTTGGCATAAAAGAAAAATCTATTATTTTGACCCATACAATGTATTTTTGGCTATTGCTACAAATATACCCCAGCGACTTAAAGGGTTAGTTCACCCAAAAATAAAAATTAGGCGTGTTCAGGAAAGGGACACTACTGTTCAATAACACCTTTGCTCTGTTGGCTGCTTTCTTCATGGGCTTGAGTTATCCCTCCAGCACTTTTGAGCTTTTAATCGTTGGACGCTTCCTGACAGGAGTAAACGCAGGTAGTATTCAAGCACATAAAGTAGTGATGGTTGATCAGTTTTGTATTCGTATTCAATAATCATCGCAGAAATATTCAAAAGTTTGGGGTCAGTAAGATTTGTAATTTTTTTTATTCAGCAAGAATGCTTTAAAGTGATGTCAACACACACACAACACACACTGGCCCAGCTAACCAATCACAGCACATTTCATATTTCAGAAGGTGGGCCTTCATTTGATACAGGAATTATTCGAGCCAGAGGAGAGAGAGGTGTTGTAATAATGAGTGAGTGACGTGACATGTGGCCAAGTATGGTGACCCATACTCAGAATTAGTGCTCTGCATTTAACCCATCCTAAGTGCACACACACAGCAGTGAACACACACAAACCGTGAACACACACCCGGAGCAGTGGGCAGCCATTTATGCTGCGACGCCCGGGGAGCAGTTGGGGGTTCGGTGCCTTGCTCAAGGGCACCTCAGTCGTGGTACTGAAGGTGGGAGAGAGCACTGTACATTCACTCCCCCCACCTACAGTCCCTGCCGGTACGAGACTCGAACCCACAACCTTTGGGTTATGAGTCCGACTCTCTAACCATTAGGCCACGACTTCCCACTATAATGTAAAATATGTGAAAAATAATGTGATTTTCGAGCAACCTAGTATGAGAGCCTGCTAGTACACCCCCAAAACAAAATCAAGACTTTGTAAAAGAGCATAATAGGACCCCTTTAATTTTACTGTTAAAGTTATGTGATGAATTTAATAGTCTACGGAAAACAGCAGATTCAAATATCAACTGTCCATGTGAAATTTCTGCACAATTTCTACAAACTTTTCCAATATGCTTCATGTGATAATTCAGAAATTTTATTAAAATTGTATATTTTAATAAGTAAATTGATGAAGATAAAATAATTAATCAACAACCCAGCTAAACAAACAAAAGTTTCATTTTCAAAAAAGTTCATTGTTTCCTGCTTGTTTTTCTGCCAAGTATAAGGTCACGAGTCACATTTAAACTCGTGATTCCACTGAAAGAAAGACGATGTTGTCATCTCAGCTGCATATGACCACAAAATCAGAATGTTTAAAGACTGAAGCGTAAAATCTCGTTGAAATGATCACACTTGAACGGATGTCATGATGTGAGCACCCTGTATAGGGAGCTAAATCCAACCCGTTGAGCCGTAACCAACAACAGAAGCGAGGAGAAGAGAATCTCGTGAGTAAAGGAATGTTATGCCCTTTGCCACTTTCTTTCAGCTCTGATGTGGTTCCATGGCCCGGATAAGTACCACAGAGAAAAGGAGGACATCGAGAGAGAGAGAGTCAGCGCGGCTGGTATTAAACCCAAAAAGCCCTGGGAGCTTTTTACGGACACTAGTCTTCGCTGGCAGCTCTTGACCCTCGTCGTGATCCACATGTCCCAGCAACTCAACGGCATTAATGCGGTGTGTATCTCACCCAGACAGCAGGAAACAACAACATCACATCAGTGGCTTGGATTATCCTTGACTGCTGATGTGTGCACTATTAAAACCAAAAAAACACCCCCTCCCTTCGAAATGGCATGTGATCGGCCTGCTGTGGTTTAAAACCTGATCTTTTCTCAGAGAAAATGATTATTAAAGAAAAAAGAAAAAACATGGAATCGTTCAGATTTGAACTTTGTGGCTGTGACATTAACTTGAGCTCCTATAATGGGCATGAAAGTGATTTTGCACACATGCTTAAAAGCTTTTATGGAGTGTCATGTGAGATAACATTGTAGAACTGCAAAGCCAATGGTGAACCATGCACAGTAGGCGCAAACATTATTTAGACCAGGGCTGTCCAAACTCGGTCCTGGAGGGCCGGTGTCCTGCAGAGTTTAGCTCCAACCCTAATTAAACACACCTGAAGCAGCTAATCAAGCTCTTACTAGGCATAGAAACTTCCAGTCAGGTGTGTTGAGGCAAGTTGGAGCTAAACTCTGCAGGACACCGGCCCTCCAGGACCGAGTTTGGACAGGCCTGATTTAGACACTTTAGTCCTAACAAACAGATAATGAATGTCATTGCATTAAATAAAACATCAAACCATTGAATAGGCCAAACGTACATTTCTGAAAATTGTTTGATATAATTTGTTGCTTAAATTAGATTTAAACTTTAGTTTATATCAAAGCGCTTTTCCACCATCGTCGAAGTTTAATTCTCACACAGTATGATTAAACTGTTCCCAACTTGGCTGATATACATAATATTTCAATATATTACGCATATTTTCTTCGTAGATAGTCTGGGAAAGTTTTAACTTTCTATTCGATGTAACTTTATCCTCCAGAGTGTTGCGTCACCAATTCTTGCGTCACCAAGGTTACGTACCTACGTTCTAGGTTCTAAACTGTAACTGTACCGTAAAATGTAGTGATTTAAGGGTGTTCGTGCAAAATTTTTTTTTTGCCGACGATATTACATCGAAATGTTGCTAATGTGACCGCACCTAAGAAAAAGTTTTAAAACGTTGTGTTTGCAATTCTTTTTGCTAAAAAGTGACTACTTCTGAAAACTCGCCATTATTTCCAGTTCATGTTGTCCGCACCCTTTTTATTTTTTGTTACTGTTATTTATTAGCTTACTATCTATAGCCAGTAGCTATTGAAAGAAAGAAAGAAAGAAATTTATATATATTTATTTATTAAAATTTTTGGTTTGACATGGTACCCTACAGTTTTGCAAAGAGAACCATTCGGTCCAATGATGGTCTTTGTGTTAAGTTTTATTGACACTGTGCAAATATTACACAAATTTCTGATCTAATGTACACCAATGCCAATATATGAAGAGTTCATTTGCAAAAACAGATTGGGTAACTGCAGTTGGGTTATTTTGATTAGGTAAAAACTAACTAACACAAATAAAACACAATAAAAACACAATAACATAACAAAAAAAACATGATTTTTGAAAATTACAAAAATCGGAGTTATCTGTTTTTGCAAATAAACTCTTCATATGTATGTCTCTTCCCCCCTTAGATTTATTTCTATGCAGACTACGTGTTCACCCAGGCTGGGATTCCAGCTGCCAAGATTCCGTACGCTACAGTGGGAACTGGAGCTTGTGAGTGCATCACTGCACTGACATGTGTAAGTCTGGAATTTGTCATTATACCTGCACAAATTTGTTTATCACAGAATGCATGACACAGAGCATAGAAATAAAGCAAATATTATAACGTAGGTTAATACTATAATTGGTAAACTATGGATTATGGGCAGATTTGGCATAAAGTTGTTATGTCAATGCCTGTTGATGATAAAGAATCATGTCCCACTTGATAATAAAATGAGTTAATCACACCTAAACCCAGTTTTTGAAAGGTCAAAAAGGGACATTATTCAGCTTCAGTCAGTTCAGTGTTGATGCAGATTCAGTCCTGTAACCGCATAAAGTTAATCAATTATGAAGCAAGTTCAGTTCAGCTGTAGGCAGCTCTACAGAAGACAGTAATGCCATTATTCAGCCTGAGTCAGTTCACAGTTGATTCAAACTGATGTTTGTGTGTTTCAGGGTCTTCTGATCGAATCTTTGGGAAGAAGAGCTCTGATTATAGGTGGATACTCTCTCATGAGCGTGTGCTGTGTCTGTTTCACCATCGCCCTCACTTTTCAGGTCTAGTGACCTATACCTGCTGTTTAATTTCCCCCGCAATATTCATTTTGTGCACTGTGCCAATATTTTATTATCATATGTCGCTGTATAAACTAGAATCATACTTATATGGTTATGTTGAAACATGGCCTACAGTTTGTGATCTTAATTTTCAAACAGTTGAATGTATGCAGATTTAATGATGTTTGTTTGGTGTTTCTCCTCACAGGAGTCCAGCCCTTGGGTTCCCTACCTTAGTATGATTTGTGTTTTTGCCTTCATTCTCAGTTTTGGCCTTGGACCAGGTGAATGAATGAGTAAAAAAAAGAAAGAAAGCAAAGGAAGATTACAGTGCATGAATGTTTTACCATTAAAGGAATAGATCACTCATAAATGAAAATTGGTTGAAAATGTGCTCACCCTCAGGCCAGCCAAGATGAGTTTGTTTCTTCATTGGAACAGATGTGGAGAATTTTAGCATTACATCAGCTGCTCACCAGTGGATGCTCTGCAGTGAATGGGTGCCGTCAGAATGAGAGTCCAAACAGCTGATAAAAACCACTATAATCCACACCACTCCAGCCCATCAATGAACATCTTGTGAAGCAAAAAGCTGCACATTTGTAAGAAACAAACCCATCATTAAGAAGTTTTTAACTTCAAAATGTAATAAAAGTCTGTATCCATAATATTGCTTTTTCCAGTGAAAACGTCACATGAATCAGGAGAGAAATATGCACAGATCAAGCAGTTTAATCAATTAAAATGCCTTAATGATAGATTTGTTTCTTAAAAAACAAGCAGTTGTGGATTACGTGTAAGTTTTTATCAGCTGTTTGGACTCTCATTCTGACGGCACCCATTCACTGTAGATGGTACACTGCTGAGCAAGTGATGTAATGCTAAATTTCTCGAAATCTGTTCTGATGAAGAAACCCATTTTTTTGGATGCCCTGAGGGTGTCAATTTTCATCTTTGGGTGAACTATTCCTTTGATAAAAACTCATCTCTATCCACACTATTGTTATATTGGTACACACTGGTATAGTTTGATCAGTAATATCAATGTGCTTTGTGCTGTAGGTGGTGTGACAAACATTTTAACAACAGAGCTGTTTACCCAAACCGATCGGCCTGCTGCGTACATGATCGGTGGATCGATCAACTGGATCGCTTTCTTCTTCATTGGCATGATCTTTCCATTTATTGTGGTATATATGAGCCCCTTCTTTCCCTTTGATTAAGATATGGTTAGTCAGTTTTTATTACCGGTATTTAGAATTTCACAAAGCAGTTGTATTTCTACAAGATGGACCTTATTTACCGTACAGATTCTGTAAAAAACCATCCAATGATGATATTTGTTAATTACTTATTGATGAGTTATTAAAAACAAAGTGGAATTTAAATGTTTTGTTTTTTAACAAACTTCTCTTTCTCAATTTCTCTCAGAATGGACTAAAGCAGTACTGCTTCCTTGTTTTCCTCGTTGTCTGTTGCTTGGTGGCCACTTATATCTTCTTTGTGGTCCCTGAGACCAAGAACAAGACCTTTCTAGAGATTCAGAGTGAGTTTCACTCGAGAAAGGAGCTCATTGCTGCCAATGGTACCGAGGGCCCTCTACTGTCCACACCGATGTAAAACAAATGATGCATTTACAAAGCACAGTATTTTAAAGGGCTTTATTATGTCTGTGTACTTATGTATGAATGTGCTAAAAATACCTGGAAATGTAAATCCAGAAAATATCTGTAAAATTTGTGACACAGACACTGCACTACATCATGTGCCTTCAAAATGAATAAAGCCTTTTACATCAAGGGAAGTCACATGATGGTAGGGACTTTCAATAGCCTAGTATTACATCTTGTATGTGTTTTATACAAATGAAAACTACTATGCAAAAATATTACAAAGTAGCCTACTATTTTGAATCAGTGTACTAGGCTACTTGTATCTGAAATGACTTTTTATCTTTAATTCTGTAAAATGGATCCATATTATAATCTTAAGCAAGAAACATCTCATGAAATCATATAATTAATTATACTTGAATTTATTTTAATGTCAGCAACAGTTTTGGCAATAAAGGAAATGTTTGCAAAACACAATTGTTTGTATCTTTCACACAGAGTCAGATATTTTTTTATTCTTAACATTCTCAAAGTTTGCAGATACCACAAGCACTAATCCACTGCGTCAATCAAGCTTGAATTCACTTTCACATTTTAAAGCCAACAAACATTTTTTTTCAGTGTATAATGGTAGTTTTTCACGGTTCTTTTCACAGCATCTTTTATTCTTAACATCCTTAACATATTTTAAAGGTTTTCTATATATATATATATATATATATATATATATATATATATATA